ATTTTGGAAAACTACACAGTATTAGTTTAAATACTAACGGAAGACAATTGCATTTATGTTATATATATAAATTCTTTAAAAACTGCAAATAAAATAAAGCAAAAAAAATACTTAAAATCATGTTGGATACGTTGGATAAATATTTTTTTTAAGACAGTAATATATTTTGTTGCAATAAACTGTTTTGCTTTTGTATAATATTACTATTTCTGTTGATGTAATAATCATAAAGATATTAGTTATTATAAGTGATAAATGCCTTGTATATATTCAAGAATATTGTATATATCAAGTACTTTAAAATTCTTTCTCTGTTTGTTGTATGCTATATTTCACATCCTAATTTATTTTAAAATAACATTTATATTAATTTTTTTAAATTTTGTAAGTACCTAATTAAACATATCACTGAACTTGAATTTCATAGATTAAGTTCATAAAAATTTCTTGTTTGTTTTAACAGAAAATAGATTTACATAAATATTTGTGTAAATTATCTAAAAATATTCTCAAATTACAATAGAGAAAATATGCTGTTTAACATATTTATAATATTCATTTTTCAATAGAATACAAATTTATCTTACATCGAATCATTTGTTCTACTGTAGGATATAAATGACAAAAAGTATATATTATATTCATGATTTCCTAGATCTAAATTAATAGATTTGATATGTAAATGATGTTTTGTTATGTATGCTTTTTAAAATACGCGATACTTTTACAAAAAACAATGATTTCGAAAATATATTGAGAATCATATTTTGAAAGAACTACCTTAGTAATCACATGTGACATAGTCAAGAGACAAATATTACATTGTATGAAATTTGGTATCAACTTCATTTCAAAATATTTTATCTCCATTAAAACTTTCTTCTAATATCCTTTATCAAATATTATTTTCAATGCAAAAATTATTTTTTGTTTATCTTATCATCTCTTCCAAAATATAAACATTGTTGGCTTGGCATTGTGGACATACACACGTGCACACTTTGGAAATTCATACATGATTTAGTCGGACTGCATTAGAATGGATATACACCAAATGCTATATTAAACTATACTACATTGATATTGTTTGGCGACAATCACTTCAACTGGACCTCAATGTATATGATTGTGCGGCCGTTCTATTCGTCTACTATGTTGCTCAAGCACATATACATAGGTACAAATTGTGATAATCGAAATCTGATTATGCAGTAGGAAAGACGAATCGTGCTTGAGTAAGATGTTAAAAATCGGGCGCTGTATATTAGATAGGTAGTTATAAGATACAGTAGCTGTCGCTTGTGAAAGGTATGTTGCTTGTTAAATATTTTAAGCAAAATCAGAAAATCGGTTACCCAGCTTGATAATAATGATTATCGATGTGCAATCAACTAAATTCGACCAAATTTACTAAAAGACATATTATTTGATAGCAGTCTTTAAACAGAGTTAGGAAATATACAAATAAATTACAATTTTAATAATTATTTAATTATTATAATTT